TCATTAATTTCTGCTCTGATTTTTGTTATTTCTTCTCTTCTGCTGGGTTTGGGATTTTTCTTGCCTTTCCAGTGCCTTGACTTGCAATGTTAGGTCATTTATTTGGGCTCTTTCTAATTTTTAAATGTAGGCACTTAGAGCTATAAACTTCCCTCTTAGGACTGCTTTTAATGTGTCCCAGAGGTTGTGTTGTGTTTATTGTCCTTTTCGTTGAATTCTAGGAATTCTTTTATTTCTTTCTTAATTTCTCCTTTGACCCACTCATCGTTTAGGAGAGTGTTGTTCAATCGCCATGAGTTCGTCTAGTGACTAGGGCTAAGTCCAGTGTTGATTTTGAGCTTTATTGCTTTGTGGTCCAATAGAATGTATGGAATTATTTCAATATTTTTGTTGAGGTTTGTTTTGTGGCCCAGTACGTGGTCAATTTTTGAAAAAGTTCCATGAGGCGCTGAGTAGAAAGTGTATTCTTTGGTGCTTGGATAGAATATACGAAAGACATCTGTTAGGTCCATTTGATGTATGGTATCATTTAATTCAGATCTCTCTCTCTTTATTCTTTGTCCAGTTGACCTGTCTAATGGAGAAAGTGGGGTATTGAAGTTCCCTATTACTGAGTTGGGGTTAATGTGTGTCTTAAAGTCGTGTAAATGTAGTATTGTTTTTATGAATTTGGGTGTACCAGAATTTGGTGTATATGTGTTAAGGATTGGACTACCTTCTTGGTTAACTGTTCCTTTGATCAGAATGAAGTGACCCTCCTTATCTCTTCTGATTAGTTTTACTTTGAAGTCGATTTTGTCAGATATTAGAATTGCAACCTCTGCTTGTTTCTTAGTGCTATTTGCTTGCAATATTCTTTTCCATCCTTTTACCTTAAGGTAGTGCCTGTCCTAGAAGGTGAGATGGGTTTCTTGCAGACAGCAAAGAGATGGATTTTGTTTCTTAATCCATTCACTTAGCCTGTGTCTTCTGACTGGGGAGTTCAGTCCATTGATATTTAAGGTTATTATTGGAAGGTGTATATTGGTTGCCGTCATTTTGATTGCTGTTTGTGTTCTCTAATTTTGTATTTCCTAGATTATATCTTTATTTCCTTTCATTGACCCTAGGTTATAGGTGTTTCTCTCTCTGCTATCTGTGTTGCTTCAAGTATTCTTTGAAGGGCTGGTTTTGTGGACATGTATTCTTTCAGGCTATTTATGTCATGGAAGATTTTTCTTTCCCCCTCAACTATAATAGACATTTTTGCTGGGTATAGTATTCTGGACTGGCATCTATTGTCATGTAGAACTGGAAATACCTTGGTCCAGGCTCTTCTGGCTTTCATGGTTTGCTGTCGGGTTCCAACACGCAGGGAGGGAAAAGAGAGATCCTCAGAGCCAGTGGATAATCCGTTTTTCCCCTAGGGGCTGAGCGGGATGGTGAGGCTCAAAAGGAACACATAGAGCCGGTGCCGAGTCAGTGCAGGAACACGCTTTATTGCAGCAGGCACAGGTATTTAAAGGCAAAGTCTCATGGAGGGAAGTTTGAGGCGTGAGTGACAGTTGCTTCTGGTGTCGCGGACCTATGGGCTGAGGGGCCACTCCCTCTGTACACCAGGAATGAGGCAGGGCCAGGTGGAGCCAATCCTATGTCGGCGATGAGTTTCCCCATCCCTCCCCCTTGACCTGTGCCGGGCGCCATCTTGACGAGAATCGAAAGTGACCGGACAGGTGGGCCGACTCTAGGTCAGGCTGCAGAAGTGCTCTGGAACTCATAGGCCCAGGGTGTGGCTGCACTCAGGCAGTCCCGACAGTTTGCATTGATAAGTCAGCTGTATTCTGATGGGCTTTCCTTTGTATGTGACTTGTTATTTTTCTTTTGCTGCTTTCCATATTCTCCTTTGTTCTGTACATTTAATGTTTTTACTATGATATGTCACGGGGAGCTTCTTTTCTGATCCTATTTGGTGTTCTATGTTCTTCCTGTATTTGTATGGGGATGTCTTTCCTTAATTTCGGGAAATTCTCTTTTATAATCGTGTTTAAGATCTGGTCAACACCATTAACCTAAAATTCTTCTCCTTCCTCTATTCCTATAATCTGAAGGCCTTGAGTTTCATATCAAGAACACATTTTTTTAAAAAGTAAGCTGGGGTTAAGGGGGGAATGGCTCAATGACAGAGTGATTGCCTAGCATGCACAAGGCCCTGTGTTCAATCCCCAGAAACACATACATACACACAGAGAAAAAAGAAAGGCAGATGTGATGGCCCTTTTTTATAATCTGAATCCTGGGGAAGCCAAGATAGGTAGATTGATGGGGCTCCCTGACCAGCCATCTAGCCTCATCCTTAAGGCCAGGACAATGAGAGACCCCGTCTCAAAAAAAGAAGAAGTTGGGGTACTGTAGAGATGGCGTAGTCACTCTGTGTTTGGATATAAATTTTTAAAAAAATATTTTATGTATTATTTTTATTTTATGTATACTAGTTTATTGCCTGCATGTAAGTGCAGCTGTGTCATGAAATGCCTGTGGAGGTCAGAGGAGGGGGTGTCAGATTTCCCTGGAACTGGAGTTATGGATGGTTGTTAGCTACCATGTGGGTGCTGAGGATTGAACCCAGGTCCTCTGCAAAAGTAGTCAGTGCTCTTAACTGCTAAGCCATCTCTAAAGCCCCCAGATTTCTTTTTGTATTTCCCAGGCAGTTGTTTGTTGGGCTTTATGTTTCTGCAAATTGGTGTCCTTAGTCTGGAAAATTCTCACATATTTCTTATGTCCCTGTTGCTACTTGAGCATTTTCTCTGTCCCACCTGTACCTCTGATCAAATCTTTGTTGGACAGATCTCACATATCCCTCTTTCTCTGAATCACTTCTTCATCTTTCTGTGAGTCCTGGATAGATAAATCTATCACATGTCTTCAACTCACTAATTCTCTCATCAACAGTATCTAATTGTGGAGCTGGGAGTATGAGTAGGCAGTAGGGCACTTGCTTTGACTGCGCTAGGTCCTGAGTTTCATCTTCAGTGCCACAAAGTGTTTCACTTTCACTTTTATGTGTCTATATATATTTTTAATATTTCTTATTTCCAATCATGATACGAAGTTATGAACTGGATTTTTTTAAAGGCAATAAAAACTCTTGCTCCTATCTTTTAATCTCATGTGTGTGTGTTTTGTTGTTGTTTTGTTTCATTTTATAGACAGGATCTGACTATGTAGCCTAGGCTGGCCTTGAACTCAGTAACTCAGACTAAGTTCAAACTGACAGCTGTCCTCCTGTCTTATCCTCCTGAGTGCTGGGATCACAAACTTGCTTCACCCAGCCTGGCTTATTTCTTCAAATATATGAAGTAGATATATTTTACTTTCTCTCTCTGATACTTCTTTGTGTGCATGTATTTGTATGTGTATGCATGTATGTGCAATGTGCGTGTGTGTGTGTGTGTGTGTGTGTGTGTGTGTGTGTGTGTGTGTAGCGAGAGGTCCACAGTGGGTCACAGTGGGTGTCTTCCTCTTTTTGGCTGTCTACCTTATTTTTTGAGGCAGGTCTCTCGCTGAACTTGGGGTTCACTAGTGGCTAGGTTGGCTGGCCAGTGGGCTCCAGGGATCCACCTGTCTCCATACCACCTTCTCAGCACTGGAGTTACAGAAGCACACCACTGCACCCAGCTTTTTATTCAGTGCCAGGGAACCAAACTTAGGTCCCCACGCTTGTATGACAAGCATTTCACTGACAGCCATCCCCACCTATCTCTGATTCTTTCCATAACAGCAGTCCTCATGGGCTGGATTCTACCCATCCTTTTTCTGACTGTTTTATACTGTTTGAGCATGAAGTAGTTTTTCATGGGATTTTATCCATTACACTATGTGTAGCCTATGTGGAAGATGGATTCCTCAAAGAGGGATTTCTCCTGCTTCATCCTGGTACCTCAGCATCACAAAGCTGAGCCAATTAAATGCTCTGCTCTGTCAGGCCATCTCACTGTGAGAATCTGGGTCATAACCTAACGTGTGGCCACTTCCCTTCACTCCGTTTAAAGTGCAGACAGGCAGCTAGGTTCAAAGCCCAGAACATCAGAGGTTTGCTTCCTTCTTTTTCCCCATAGAGCATGTGGCTTTCGGGGTTGGGGGGGTGGGGGTCCTCCCTAGCTTAGGAAAGCGTTTTTATTAGGCTTTGGCAGGGGACACAACAGACCTAAGCTGAAAGTTTCCTGGCTCAGCTCAGCAGCTCCCATCAAAGGCAAAAGCCAAGTCTGATTTTCTCCCACTTCTCTGGGTTAGTTTTTGCCCCTTAGGTCCCATTTTCATCAGGCACAGGCCAAGGCACCAGGTCCAGTAAGAGGCAGGATGAGACTTCAGCCAATACTATCAGATTCTGTCTAGTTTCCAGTGAGGCGACAACACTTCTGGCTATAGCTGAATCCCTGAGTCTCAATGTTTTCTTCTAGAAAATGGAGAGAATACTTTCATGTAGCTTGTGGAATTGTTTAACTAGAAAGGAATACAAAGAATTTTCATAGCCAGGTGTGGTGCCACATGCCTGTAATTTCAGCACTCAGGAGGTTGAAGCAGGAGGATCATGAATTTGAAGCCAGCCTGGGCTACATCATGCATGAGACCCTGTCTTGAAGGAATATTTTTTTCATCATGCAGAGTAAAAGTAGCTTTTCCAGAAAACGTACAGGGAAACCAACCAAGCAAAGCACCCGGGTGGGGATGCATCTACAGGGTCAGGAGCAGGACTGTGGGAGCTGTACCCCAGTAGGAAGTCTGGGGGTAAGTTTCCTCCCGCTTCTGTGCACCTCCAGCCTGAGCTGCTAGACCTGTACACAGTGAACCTGCACCGCATCGAGAAGGACGTGCAGAGGTGTGACCGCAACTACTGGTACTTCACGCCCGCCAACCTGGAGAAGCTGCGCAACATCATGTGCAGGTAGGCTGGGGTTGGGGGTGATGGAAGGGGTGGGGAAAAGGGATGAGGAGATTGGGGAGGGAGCAGGGTGATGGGGGAGAGGATGAGGATGGGTATGAGGAGATTGAAGGCAGGGGGACAGGGTGATGGGGGTAGATGAGAGGGATGAGGAGATTGGAGACAGGAGGACAGTGTGATGCAGGGAGAGGATGGGGATGGGGAGATTTGGGGGAAGGAGGATGGGTTGATGGTAGGGATGGATGGAAAGATGGGGCATGGGGTGTGGTGATGTGGGTGCCATGGAGAAGGAAGGGGCTTCAGGGGTCCAGCTGTAGCTTGTTTTAGCCTCAGCAGCTGACACCACTCCCCCACCTGGGTTTCACGTTAGCCCACATTGACAAATCATAGATTCAGAATGATACAAAACCATTATTGAGCACTGGCTGCATCCCAGGTCCAGTCCTGAGCCCTGTGCCATCCTCAGCCCCCTTAGTCCTCAAACAGCCCAGTGAAGCAAGTGCTAACCCCTCAGCAGATCAGGTCTGAGGACATGGAGACTCGGGGTAGCCATGTCCCTCAGGAGCCCCAGCTGGGTGGTGGCCAGGCAGAAACCTACAGTCATGTGCCACCTGTTCTGAGATCTGCCAGACCTAAGGGTACTTACTAATACTTATTAAAACTATTGTTGGTGTTTTTTTCTACTTATTTTTTTCACAGTGCTGAGGATTGAACCTTGAGCAGGCGAGGCAAAGGCCCTACCACTGAGCTGCATTTCATTCCCATTTTCAACTTTTAGTTTGTTTAATTTTAGACAAGGCCTCACTGAGTTGCCCAGGCAGGCCCTGAACTTTCCTATCTTCCTGCCTCAGCCTCTTGAGTGTCTGGGATTGCAGGCTTGCGCCACCAGGCCAGGCCATTGGCATTTCTTTTTTAAAAAATATTTTACTTATTATTTATAGTTTATTTGTATGAACATATTGCCTGCATGTACGTGAGTGCACCGATGCAATACCGGTGGAGGTCAGAAGAAGGTGTTGGGTTCCCTGGAACTGGAGTTATAGGCGTTTGTTAGCTGCCATGTGGGTGCTGGGAACCAAACCCAGGTCCTCTGTGAGAGTAGCTAGGCTCTTAACCACTGAGACCTCTCTCCAGCCCTGCCATTGGCATTTCTAAAAAATGTGAAAATCTTCGCATATATCAAAAATCAAATCCAGTAAGGAAATTATAGGTTTGTAAGATATAAAGAGAAACTTCCTCCTTGTTTAACCCTCAGTGTCACTTGCCCAAAAGTGATGACTGCATACAATTACACACCTTATATAGAGCATTTAATAGAACATCTAATTGATTATATGTAATATAAAAAACTGCATGGATGCATTATGTATTTTGTGATACAATGAACCTTTAATGTTTTTTGTAAATATTTTATTATTTTTATTTTATGTCTATGCACGTATTGCCTGCATGTAGGTAAGTGCACCTGTGTCGTGCAATGCCTGCAGAGGACAGAAGAGGCTGTTGGATCCCCTGGAACTGGAGTTATGGATAGTTGTTAGCTGCCATGTGGGTGCTGGGATTTGAACCCGGGTCTTCTGCAAGAACAACCAGTGTTCTTAACTGCTGAACCATCTCTCCAGCCCCAAACCTTTAATGTTTTAAGCTATGATAAGGTAAATGTTATATTAAAGGAAAATGTGCCAGAGGAGAAGGAGGAGTGGATTGGCCTTAACCTAGTCACAGGCATAGGGAGAAACGCCACTGATGTGGTGAATTTCCAGAGAATCTGTCAAAGTCAGGAAATACTAAAGAAACCATTTAACATAGAGTTTAAGGTCATATGCACTCAAGTAACACCTCCTGTGGGCACATACACCACATCCAATGTTAATTGTTGGGTATATTTCTGTTCCAGTTTCCTTTCTGTAGCTGTGACAAAATACCCAGACAAAAAGCAACTTAGGAGAGAAAGCGTTTGCTTATTTTAGGTCACAGTTCTAGTTTACTTAAGTCCATCACAGCAGGGAAGGCAAGGCAGCACAAACTTGAGACAGTTGGTAGGCAGGCAGTGTGGGAGGCTGGGGAGGCTGTGGGGGGGGGTTGTAGGCAGTGTGGGAGACTGAGGGGAGGCTGTGGGGGGGTGTAGGCAGGCTGTATGGGAGGCTGTGGGGGTGTAGGCAGGCTGTGTGGGAGGCCGTGGGGGTGTAGGCAGGCTGTATGGGAGGCTGTGGGGGTGTAGGCAGGCTGTGTGGGAGGCTGTGGGGGGATTGTGTGGGAAGCTGATGGGAGGCTGTGGGGGGGTTGTAGGTAGGCTGTGTGGGAGGCTGTGGGGGGTTGTAGGCAGGCTGTGTGGGAGGCTGTGGGGTTGTAGGTGGGCGGTGTGGGAGGCTGTGGGGGTGTAGGCAGGCTGTATGGGAGGCTGTGGGGGTGTAGGCAAGCTGTGTGGGAGGCTGTGGGGGGATTGTGTGGGAAGCTGATGGGAGGCTGTGGGGGGGTTGTAGGTAGGCTGTGTGGGAGGCTGTGGGGGGGTTGTAGGTAGGCTGTGTGGGAGGCTGTGGGGGGTTGTAGGCAGGCTGTGTGGGAGGCTGTGGCGGGGTGTAGGCAAGCTGTGTGGGAGGCTGTGGAGGCTGTGGAGGGTTGTAGGCAGGCAGTGTGGGAGACTTTGGGGAGGCTCTGTGGGGAGGCACCTGTGTCACCCTCACTGTGCCCTGTCTCCTGCAGCTACATCTGGCAGCACATTGAGATTGGCTACGTCCAGGGCATGTGTGACCTGCTGGCCCCGCTGCTGGTCATCCTGGATGATGGTGAGTGTGGGGTGTCCTCCCTGTCCCCAGGCTGGAGCACAGAGGGTGTACTGTGGGAAACAGAGTGTACTATGGGGAACAGTGTGGTCCAGTGGGTACGGAAAGTACAGTGGACTGTAGAGGGTGCAGTAGGAGCACATTGGAATACAGAGAAGTACAATGGGGTTCAGTATGGTTGGGGTACAGAGGGTACCGTGGGTACAGTGTGGAGACAGTCTCCTGCTGCAGGGGAAGGGCCAACCTCACCTCTAACTCCACGGACTGAATCAGGACATGTGCAGAAGACCTTCATGGCAAACATGTCCCAGCCCTAGAGGAAAGTTCCACAGAGCCTGACCTGAGGCGTGGGCTGTGGCCCCTGGCTGTACCATGAATGAGAACAAAGTGATTCCTGGTCCAGATGGTTGCCCTGGTGCAAGAACTACCAAACACTGAAAGAACTAAGACTTCACAAACTTTCTGGAAAGAGAAAAGAATGGAGGGAGGG